ACAATCTATTCTTAAGGAAGCTAAACCGACCTGCAGCTTTCTGTGCATCTTTGGCTTTGAATAACACCATGTACAATGATCTAACAATAGTGCATCGAGTCAGCATTTTGAGGTGGAAAGGGCCATTTTGCAGCAGTGTTGGTATTTTTTTTAAAAAAGGAAAACTTAAAAAAGGGATACAAATGCAAAAATGAAAAAAAAACTTCATAAGCCCCTAAGTAGGCTTAATACTATTTAAAAAAAGAATGAGCAATTACCAAGATCCTACTAAAACATTCTCCTGAGGCCTTGGGTATGATTTAACCCTGTAGATGTGCTTGTGGATGAGCCACTTACCCTGTCCTCCCATAGCTCTGCTGCTGTGCCTTTCCATTTCTAATTGCATGCGCAGATACACACACTCTTGTATTTATTATACTGTATAATATACATAAATTATGCATAACACAGAGATGCAGTCATACAAAGTCGTTTTAAATTAAATGCACACAAAGTTAAGTTTAATTTTATGTATCTGAAGTTAAAGCATCAAAATGCACATCTAAGATAGCTCAACAACCAGACTTAAAATGCAAATTCCTTTCTTGCATTTCCTCTCAGCTTTTCCTCAAGGGTATCCGCTGAGGCTTCTATGACAGGCCTCTCTCAGTGGTAGAATGGTTACAATAATTGCTTGATGGGCAGAATATCCTTGGCTTGAGACCTGGCAAGAAGGTGGGACTGGGAAGGAAGTGCATTGGCAGCTTTATTTAAAAACAAAAATGACCCCGAGGAAAAGCAGCTGGCCCAGCTAAAGAAAAATATAATTTTGAGAAAAGTTTCTGCTGGGTTTGAACCAGGGAGAAAGCCATATAATAGAGCAAAACCAGATTTTCTGGAGGAACAGCTGAAAAATGATGCTAATCAAACCAGAAAGAATGAAGGAAAGCTCAGCAGGCATATGGAACAGATATATAAGACTACTTTCAGCTCAGAGCAGGAAGACATAGGCAGAGGTCACTTCAACAGTGAGTTCTGGGCAGTGGTGGGATTCAGCCGGTTCGCACCACTTCGGCAGAACCGGTAGCTAATTTTTTGTTGCCCAGGCCCAGAATGGACTTCCGGAAGAGGCATCCACACAGAGAACCGGTTGTTCACATATTTAAATCCCACCACTGGCACAGGGTGAGAAGAAGATGACTTCCTGTGATCCTGGCCTCCAGAAATGTTGGGTGGTCCATACTCACAGTGCAGAGATGTCCTAGGTTGGTTGCCATATTCATGATCTGCCAAGTTCTGGTCCTGCTCAGCATGAAGTTGTAAAATATAACCCAAATGGAAGAGTTTTATGTTTTCTATAAAATAAACAGGACCGCCTGATGCCTTTTTAGAAGAGAGATGGCTTTACTAGAGCTACTCTATAAAAGAACTACAACACAGATTTCAAAGGGCAGCAGAATATACTCACTGCCAATATGAACTCAGTCATGGTGTAAATGGAAAACAAGGAGTGCAGTTTGCTAATATTCTCTATCTGTGCTCCCAAACCATAAAAGAAGGGAACATTTGGAATACCTGCTTTGCAAGAAGAACATATCTAAAATGGAACAAATGTGCTCTGATGTTAAAAGAAGTTGGGAGAAAATCAGCACTCTCCCGTTTAACAAGTGTTGATTAAATGCTACTTGGACAGCGGATTTATTTATTTATTCTTAGGCTGACCATTACGCTTATAACTTTGAATCAATCTCTCATATATACGCCTCAGACCTATTTGTCTAACTCACTTTTACACATACCCAAAAGGAGCACTACTGGCAAATAAAGTTAAGCTGACCTTTGGAGTTTGAATTGTAGCCCATTAGGATTAAATATAGCCAGAAAATAATTCTAGGGTGGTAAAAGCAGTACTTTGTAATGGCAAATATGAATCCATAAATCAGAATGAATCTCTCTCATCTCAGTTAGTCTGATTTTTCTTTCAACAGATTTGCACCAACAGAGGAAGATACTGATAGTTTCCTCAGATCACTAGTTGGTCAAACTGAAAGATTAGAAAACAATTCTTTAATATATATTTTGTATATATTTCTAGTCTTATCATAAACCTCCAGAGCCGTTGTTAGTTAAAACTGAATAGTCAAATTACAGAAAACTGTATTATCCTGCTGTACTGACTTCAAATGTACCAGAAATGTACAAACTGTTGTCCTTTCATTTTGCCACAACCCTCCCGCATCAAAATGTCCAGGAAACACATACATTTTCTTTATACATATAAAACATTGATTGATTATACTGAATCCAAACAAACAAATGTTATTTTTCAGTGTCCAAATATTTTTACCAATAACATTTAATTTTTTTACACTTACAATAAGTATTGTAGTAATTATTCCATATTTTTGTAGCAAAATGTGCCACATCAAATAAATGCTTTCATAACATCTCTATGCAACCATGCTGTGTTTGTTGTATCATTTCTCTAATGAAATGGCCACAAGGTAAAAGTCACACAAATAATATATTTTAGCAGATGACCTTTCCTTGTTGACAAAATCTACAATGTTTATAAAGTTTACAGCTAACCAGGTCTCTTTTTATACTGCCCAAAAAAAGACCTAAAGAAAAAAACAGAATTATTTCTATTCTACCACCGAATGTTTGTAAATAAAATTCAAAACATATTTGTTAAAATTCATACGCTGCATGAAATACTTTTGAGGACACATCTACTACATGTATCAATGTTCTAACTGAATGGTCCACAATCTTTTATTCCTATAGTAAACTTAGTTTTTGGAAACTCACTTCCTTTACTTTGTATTTTCTACCCCATATAGATCCATTCATGTGAAATCAGTTAGAGCATGGGTGTCAAATTTGCTGCATCACGTGATGTGTCGCGACATATCACAACTTTTTTTTGCATTGCCGGAGCTGGGGTGGGCGCAGCCTCTGCATGATGTAACTGGCCCATGGACTGGCAGTTTGACATCCCTGAGTTAGAGGGATGGATTAGAATTGGGAAAAAACCATGTTCAGCCTGGCAACCATAAACTTCACTGTAAGTCCCTATATTATCGTTCAGCACAACCAACTTCATAGGACTGTTGTAGAAATGAAATCAGAGGATCAAATAAATTTTATCTCGTCTTGAGATCCTGAAGGCCTCAATTTTGGGGTAAAGATAAAATTTGTAACAGGTGGAATTAAGCTGAAAATCACTTTTACATAAATGCAGAATTGTATGATATTCTAACTTAGAAATGTTTTGAATGACCACATTTGCTTCATTTGGCTAGTACCATTTCAAGTAAACATCTGCTTTCATTATGAACAAACTGATGCATTTGTTTTATTGGATTCATTCATGCACCACAAACAATTTTAAGCACATCCATTTTAACTTTATAGATTCTGCTTTGTGAGTATTTCTTTAGGCAGCTGTTTATGACTTGGCTCTACGAAAGGATATTTTTTTAATTCCTGATCCAACTCCATTTCGAAAGGATCTTTTAATATCAGAATTCTCCAGAAAGGAATTGAACAAAGCTAGTTCTTCAGATCCATCCATCTTGGCTAGGCAGCCATTCAGCAGCAGCAGGAGGAGGCAATCAGATTTCCTGGGCAGCTGGCAATTCATATAAAGGGAATTATTCCTCTGAAGATTAAAAAATAGATGAGAAAATAAGTTACGAATTTATATGTGTAGGACAGACATACTCACATGCATAGGCATAGATAAACCTATTTAGGTATAGATGAATGTGTATTACAGTATCACTAGAGCAGGGATACTGTTGAGTTTTAATATCTGGCAATGCTAGCACAGTTTTTTCTGGAAAGACTACCTATATTGCAGATTGTAATATAATAATATTGTAAGCAAATGATGTTCTGTTGTTTGGCTTTCCTTGAAAACAGTTGCAGGATAGGAGTGGGGAATGTGAGTAATAATCTAGCAATAATCTTATTGCTAGGAACATCAGCTTCACATAGCCACAACTTGTGAATACAGAACAGGCACTTTTTGTGTGGGTCATTCCACTCTGTCTTTAGGATTTCCGAAAGCTCAGGACATACGTATTATTTGTGTACATGCTGTACAACTTCCTGTGATTAAAAACTAGTAATTTACACCCTTTCTTACACACATACACATATACCTGCCTAACATTTATTATTTCATTTGAGGCCCAAGAGTTTTGAAGGAAAAGCAACCATTATTTTCATGTCCAGTTGCCATATTCGGACTTCTCCTTGGAAGGCAAAAAGCTAAGAGATACTAAGAAGTAATTTTTCCTGGAAGGTTGGCTCTCAATTTCAGGGAGACCCAGGCAAACTGCAATTTTTTGTGTCTCTTCTTCAGATTTTGAAAATCCTGGAAATCATGCACCAGGAAAATGAGTTTCCTAAGGACAAATGTTGCATGGCATTGAGTTACAGTGGAGGCTGCTGAGAATGCAGTGCAAGCAAGAAGGAAGAAAAAGGAGTGTTTAATGAGATCCTGGAAACAGATTGTTTGTAGTTAAGCATTGTCCAAGAACTGGCCAGAGTATTTCCAATGCAACTCAGAAACATATACAATATTGTACAAACAGATGGAAGTATTTACATTTCCTTTCCCACGAGGGAAGAAAAGGATAAAAGAGAAGATATATTTTGCACACAGAATTTTGCCAAGACTAGTCAAAATTTGGACAAAAGCAGTACTGCATCATTGTGATGAGGCAAGTGCTGTTGCTTTTGTTACATGCATGAGATACCACAGCACAGGTATAAAAGGATGGAGCTTGGATCATAATGATGCAGGACTGCTTTTGTCACCAGCAGTCTGAGGAGCAACTGGTTGTATATGACAACTTCTTATGCACAATTTTTTTTTCAATTGGCATCCATCCTTTAGTTAGAAGTTCAAAATGAGGAAGATCATGATCAGGTATATCTGAGCCTATTTCCCAACTCCTCCTGAAAGACAAGGTCCAGGCCTATGTTTCTTCTCCTTATCATTTTAGATGTTTAAACAAATGTTGGAACAGGCAATTTCTCAAACAGGAGATTAAATGAGGGAATATCCTTTGTAAAACAGGACACATGGACAGGTATGACCAGGACACAAACCCAAGCACCTTCAATGTTAATGCGGCAAGCAATTGGGGTAGTTGTACTCATCATGCTTAGAGATTAGGAGGTGTTTATTTTATTTATTTATTTCATTTATATGGTGCCCATCTCACTGTCAAGCAGCTCTGGGCGGCTTACAACAATATAAAAGCACAATATAAAATGATAAGAACATTAAAATATTTTTTAAAACCTTCAGGATTAAAAATTAAAACATTAACATTAATAAGATTAGGTAAATGAGACTATTACAAAAATGGGGTGGAAGTGGTATCTTCTCCTAATCTACTATCTTCAAATTCAGATGCCCTCATCAGGGCCCCATCTCAGTTGGCAGAGCCAGGTTTAACTCTGTCATAGCACTGAAGATAGTTCTGAAATTTATAACTTAAAAGTATAGGACCTTGTGCCAATAGCATATTCATAGGTTCTTCCTCCCTGAGGCATTTTGGTCAAACACCCTGCTTTGCTAACAGGCAGAAGAAAAGTAATGCAAATAATTGTGGTATAAGTAATTTAAAAGTTTAAAAGTTTTGGAGTGCATGTGAAGAACACAGTCATAAATGCATTTAATGCTTTTTTATTTTTATCTGGAAAGGATATCTGCCAAGAATGTTGTTTGATCATGAATTCAAATGCTGGTCAAAAAAAAAAAAAAAAGAGGGATAATTCTTCCAAACAGAAAATGTTTAAGTAAAATTTAACTGATGTGTAAAAGTTGTATTAGTGGATTCATGTGAATAGCCAGTACATATTACTAATTAAAATATAAATGCTCTTTTATGTTTCTAAATTTCTTTCATTTCTATTTCAGTTTTCAATCTTTTTTATAAATTGGAATTAACCTTAAACAGTCACTTGTGTCCTAGTAACCTTAGGACTTTACTATTGCAATGTCTCAAACTTTTGAAGACCATCCAGAAGCTTCAAATTCCTCCAGAATGCAGCAGTGTATGCAGTGATGAGAATGCCTTGGTATGCTCATGGAACATTTCTGCTGCACTGGTTGCCAGTTTGCTTTGGGTGCCATTCCATGTGCTGGTTATGACCTATAAACACCTACATGTGCAGGGCCTGGGTTTTTTGAGGGATTACTTACTTTCCATGATATCTGCCTGGTTGACCTGAGCTGATAGGATTAGTACATTCCAGGTTCCTTCAGTTAAACAGTGTGGATCAGGGAACATCTGCCCTGTTGACCTTCTGGAGGGCCATAAAAACTTGGCTGTCCTCCCAGGTCTTAGGCTACCTCTTTTGGATATGAGGTAGTGAAATGTTTGCTGAGTTTGCTTGCTCCTTTTTCTTTGTCTTCTGTTCTTTTTGGGCTTTTGTTGCTTCTTCTCATGTTCTTTTCATATCATCTAAAATTGTGAGCTAAATTGAATTCAATAAGTAAATAAATTTCCATAAGATGAAACAAATGAGTTTCTTTTCAAGTATAACAAATTAGGTTAAGATATTTGGTCTATGTCAAAATAATTCTTGGAGGACCCTATTTTAAAACCATTTTCCCACGATTAGCCCAAAGGAAATTCGGTCGTTCTGGAAATGAGAAATTTCTGATTGTGCGTGCTTGCAAGAGTTCCCACCTGGGAAGATGAAATCCATCACAAACCAATTCAATTGGGAGCATGCAGCCTTTTATCCTAGTAATTAGATTTTAAGATAGCATCATAAAATCAGCATAAATACACAGACAGACTGGATATTTAGCAGTAGTTTGCCCTTCAGTTTGTTTTCTAAATGTCCAATTTTGAACTCTCAAGAAAAATACTTTTGTTGTTGCTAAATGCTCCAGTGGTGTAACATTTAAGCATTGTCATTTCCATGTGTCTAAATACTGTTTTCTATTTTATTATTAGTCAACTAGAATTTTGCATGAGAAAATTGTCTCCAACTAATTGCTTGTTTCTTCCTTTATGAAATACTGTCTTTATTGTTTAGACTGGACCTGTAGCTACCATCCCTGGGCTGTAAAATGCCACCAAATGGCATCAAATGACTAATATTTTCTGTCTCCCTCTCCCCCATGTATGAATCATCTACATTTTTTAGGCATAGTGTAGTAGCACTATTTAGAGAAAGTGGAAGACTGTACAATATTGGATTTCTTTGCCTATTTATTTAAGTAGGAATACTCTTGATATATCTTATATTCCATTGGGATTTGGATTATTGTTTTTTATTTTACACTTATTTTTACAGGAACATCCTTTGCTCTGATCCTGAATTTTTTCATGTACATGTCAATATGCCACTGACATTTTTCCAACATGTGTATAAAAATAGCAATCGATATAATTTCTAGCTTAGCCTTCAGATAAAGGAGCCTTTCCCTGTATCTCCAGGAGATGCCAAGGATTAAATCTGGGACTTTTACATACAAACCATTTTCTGTTACATTTGAGTTATAAGCCTTCTTTTCTGTGATGCCATCTCTTAAACATGACTTCATCTCAAAGGACAAAAATATTTAGCAGAAAACAGCAATGCAAAATTCAATCTTTGTTGCCTGTGTAATTAGATTCTGTATGAAATGAGTGATCAACCTCCCTAAAGAAACTATTTTGTTATAATAGTATACATGCCTGGAGACAGCAAGGAATTCTAGATTAAGTTTTATAGTAATGGGAAATGATGAAACAAGCAGAACATAATTATCATAAAAATTGTTCTAATTGGAAGTTCCAAAGTATTTATGACCATCCTGAATAAGGTTTATGCTTTTTAGTGATGATTTCTTTTTATTCATGGATAATTTCCTTATTTCACTCTGTATCCAAAGAAACACACTGTGTTTCAGATAAATTGTATCTACTGCATGAGGACTAGACCTAATAAACATATTTCTAGGGATTTGGCCTCACTGTTGCTCTATTCCTTATCAACTACATTACAGATGAAAAGTTGTTATACTATTTGAATTGTGCTAAATAGCAACTATTTGAAAAATTAATGCACGTGATCTCCAATTTTCTTGCATTAAAATCACACTTAAGTATACTGTACCTTATGTCACCATGCACAACTCATATAAAAAAGGCTTTTGATCATATTGTTGTAACTACCTTTTTTTTTTTAACAAGGCACCCCATGGTTGTCCCTGGAAATATACTTGTATCACCCACTGAAAACAAGGGTGCATCATGAAGAGAGGATCAACACATTTTCTCGTTGACAATTGGCAGGAAGTGTGAGAAAAAGTTGATATGGGGCAGAGGTAGTGATTGGAACATCCCATGTATTTTTATAACCATTGGCACAAATGGCGTAATTTAGATTTCATTACACTGAAAATTGGTACTCTGCTACTGAAACCTGTTATAAGACCAGCTATACTGGTGTCAATCCGAAGCAAGCAGGAAGGCTTTGATACTGAATAAATCTATGAATTTTAAACAATTGAAAGCAAGTCAATATAATGTTTATGTTTTCTGAACGTCATGACTGTATATAATAATTTGAATCCATTTGGGAAAGAACTAGGAATGTTATATTAATTATTATTTGAAGTTTAAATCCACAAATGTAGACTTGTAAGATTAGCAAATAATACCCAGTGATGTGCTGTATTCCCAGAATCATTTTGATTGTTTATATTAGTATCAACATAACTTTATATAGTATTTCATTTTTGAAAACTCATCATATATTCAATATGTGTAGGTAATCATTCCTTTTTGGCAGGAATTTTATCTGCAACCCACCCAAATTAGAACATTTCAACATTTTTATAGGAACCTAATCACTTAATATTATAGTTTGATTTTATAGTTTTAAATGTACACATATTGTATATGGGAAAAAGTCTTGTTGAAAGAGTATTGACTAAAAATTTAAATAGGATTGCAAAGTTAGATATACCCAAAAAGTAAAAAACAAACAGTAGCAAAACAAGTATATAGTACTAAATATCTTAATTCCCAGTTTCATGCTTCAGTCACTAGAACAGATAAAGTGACTATAATCTAAACTGATGGAAATCGATAAGTGCAAGATTAGTACAATTTTTACAGCAATGCAAAAAAAAAAGCTTAATAAAGCAAGATACCTGTAAAGATGTATTACGAGTTACATAAAGAGGATTAACACATTTGAGAATACTGGTATTTAAAATAGCTTAACATGATGGTTTTAAAAGTAATAGCCACGGAAATGTTCTTACTTACCATAGATGCAACAATTGGATAGCAGCCGTTCATATTCATTATTGAGAGCCAGATAATTAATACAGCATATAGCCTGAAGAGACTATAAGAAAACACATATTAATTTACTTTGCAGAAGACAAAGTGCTTCATGCAGAATGTTAATTTTTCAAAGATGGAAATCTAATACACCTACCTGAGCATGGATTTTTTTTCTGTTTTATAATACTTCCAGGTGGAAAGAAAAATTCACAATTGCACATCTACATTCCTTATCTTTATCACGAGTCATTTCCTCAACAATCATTTTATACTAAGACTTTGGGAACAAAAATGTCAGTGAATCACATTTATATCTGACTAATTAGCCACAGGTTGGCCTTTATTCTTGCTAACTGGAAAGATGGCAAGGATGCAACTTCATGACCAGCGTGCAGCCACCAAGTGATTAAACTGACAACATCGTTACAACAAGTCCTTTAAAATCATTCACCTCTGACCAGTAACTTTCCAACTGAAATATCTTGCCTGTATATACCACAATTTTTAAGTTACTTCTATCTATTGGGTAAACTGTACCTCCTGAGAGAAAAAATAATGTTCCTACTTATTTCATTTAATGGGCCAAGCAAGCAATTTTAAAAGAGTTTTATTTCTCTGATATCAGAATTTGTTGTATATGAGTCCAGTTTATTTGTTAGGAAAACACTATTGATTTCCAATATGGGATGGGATGAATGGAGTTCATGAATGGAATTCAGTAAGATGAACTTACTATGATGTAGAGTTTTCTCAAGGGGATTATAAACTAAAACCAAGAAAAAAATTTCACAATAGAGGGAGAGCCTTGCCAGTGGTTTTCTTATATACAGTTGTAAGAAAAAATTAAAGTAGATAAAAGACTTTATAGTTTTGAACAATGTAAGTCTGAATTTGAAACAGAATTATGTACAAATGATGGACATGCTATTGCTAAAAAGTATAAACTTGTTGAAATATGAAACAGAAAAATAAGTGAAAGAATATAGAAAAAAATGGGCTAAAATTTTGGTTATTATATATAATTGGAATAGTGGGAAATTATGTGCCTGAAAGAACTGAAAATGTACGTTATGTTCTAACCTTAAGGAATTTTTTAATAAAATGTTGTATTGTTAGTATTAGTCACCAGAGAAATTATCTAGAATGCATAATGCTACTTTAAATATTTGTTTGAAATGTGAACAACATGATGGGGCATTTTACCATGTTTGTAAAGAAGGCAAAAAAATTTGGTCACAAATATATTCATTAATTCAAAAGATTTTTAGAATTAAAGTTCAGCTGAAACCAGATGTTTTTCTTTTGGAAGTAAAATAAACTAGAAAAAAAACATGGAACATTATTTTCATATATGAAACTGCAACAAGATTATTATATGCTCAAAGGTGTAGACACTACAAATAATGAAAGAACAATTGGTGAATTTGATGAAAGTTCCAGAAGATAGATTAAAAAGACAATATCAATATTTAGGGCTGATTTGAAGACCCTTATAGACTTTTAGCAAAAAACAGAAAAAATATATTTAAGACTTGTGGTTTTGATGATTATAAAAAAAATGGATAATAGAAGATGAGCTATTTTTGTAATCACAAAGTAAGAGATAACTTTGTAATCATATCTGCATTTGCTGCAAAAGAAATTGGAAATTCTTTCTATTTCTTTTTATCCTTTCTTTTTGCAACTTTGTTTTCTCTCTCTCTCTTTCTTTGTCCTTTTTATTCCGTATTATTTTGTGTTCACTTTTATGTTCTTCTAAAAACTTTTAATAAACTTTATAACAAAAGACATTTATGTACTCTAAAAATGGTTGCTAAGGCATTTTCAAACCGTATTTAGCAGGTGAGGTGGAAATGCTCTCAGACCTAAGCAAGAAGGTAAGGATTCTGCTGGATGTTTCGTCCTCGGAGTTAGAGTGTGGTGGAAATGCTGTGACCTTGGCTGAGGAGGGCCTGAGTACAAAACAGAGCGATCTTTTCCCTGGAGTCTTTTGCTGCATGCTGAAAGAGTCTACAAGGCTGTTCTTGCTGTGAACAATGAGGGGGATGTTTTTAAAAAGTCGGGAGAAGCGTTGAATGCTGTTCTATCACACACACACCATGCTAGGTGATTGTTATTGTCATACCTACTGAAAAAGAAAATGCTCCCTCTTTGATGCCAACTAATGGCCATCTGGATTTTTACAGCTCAGATATGATAGCCATAGTATCGAGTTGTTACAGCCAGTGCTTTTTTTCTAGAAAAAAAAAAGATGCCAGAACTCACACATGTCATACAACCCGCCTTGCCTACCCTACAAGGTTCCATCCAAAAAAGGTGCTGGAACTCCGTTCTGGGCATTCTATGAGAAAAAAAACCCTGGCTACAGCATTAACTTTTTGAAGAGTGGAGATGTGCAGTGGTAGGATTCAGATATGTGAACAACCGGTTCTCCATGTGGATGCCACTTACGGAAGTCCATTCTGGGCCTCGGCAACAAAAAAATAGCTACCGGTGGTGTGAACCGGCTGAATCCCACCACTGGATTTGTGCCTGCATTTTGAAAAGAGTCAGAATTTCCACTACCGTCCCCATCAATCAGAACAGAGCTGGAAGGGACCTTGGAGGTCTTCTAGTCTAATCCTCTGCTCAAACAGGAGACCCTATACCATTTCAGACAAGTGGCTGTCCAGTCTCTTCTTAAAAACTTCCAATGATAGAGCAGCTATAACTTCTGAAGGCAAGCTGTTCCACTGTTTAATTATTCTCACTGTTAGGAAGTTGCTCCTTAATACTAAGTTGTTTCTCTCCTTGATTAGTTTCCATCCATTGTTTCTTGTCTTGTCTATGTTTTTTTCATGAAACATAGGGCCATCCCAAGTGGGTGCTAAAAATATGTGTTATCATTTGATGACAACAAGGAGATCCAGAAACTCTTCGCCACCATCCACGTCCTTTCCACATTTTGACAGCCTATATAAAGATAACTTCTTAATAAAAGACTTAACAGACTTCTAGCTCTTCCCTGTCTCCTCTGTTCAGACTGGAAGGAATAGTCAAAACAAGAGATCCTGAGGTTATTTTTCCTATTTTGAGTGAAATCTCCCTCTATGTAAATAGAAGAGAAAGAGGACATGGACCAGCACAAGAAACAGAAGTCTTCCTAATTTCTCCCCAGGGGAATCGTGCTTCCATACACACTGAAGGCTTAACTGGAATTTGTTCCTATTTCAAGTATCTGTTCCATCCTGAAAGTGAATTTAAGGCTAAATTTCATATTGGAACTGTATGTGATACAAGTAATCAGAAACTCAGAAGAGTTTTCAAAGAGTTCATCAAAAATAATACTTGTAACAGGATCAATTGGGATCATTTCTTCCAATCATTAGTCTTAAATGTCACAGTACATAAATGGACATGATGCATTTACAATGATTTCCCATATATTCTACAAGATCAGATATATCCATTGATGTACTATAATAAAGTATGGTTTTTAATGGCCATAGCATGAATAAGCTTAATACAATGGCAGAAATATATATTCTGTACTCTTGTAGGCATGAGTTCTGTAATTCAGTTCCTGATTCATAAACTCATCTTTCATTCTTTGTTTTTTAATATGATTTTTATTTAATCTTTAAAAAAAGAAAATTAAAAACTAATAGAGAATAATATAAAATGACGAGGGGGGGAGAAAGAACAAAAAGTTCAAGAAAATAAAATTGAGGATTTTTGGTTTCCAATATTCTCCATAACAGTTATGTATAAAATTATTGTATACTTTAACTCTTACATCATGACATTCTTTCTATAATCTATCCTGTATAATCTTCAAGCCCATAAATCACAGATTCATTTTTTTTAGTTTGCTTCCTCCTGTCTTTCTGAAGTTGTACTCCCTTAGAAGTTATTGTTTGAAATTGCCATTTCTCTAGAATTTAGTCTCATTCTGTCTGAGCAAGCATGCAGAAGATTTGTAAATAAATGTTTTCTGTTTCGATGTCATTTGGGGCAATAAAGAATGACTTCTCTTTTTATTACCTTAGTTCTAATAGAGTCTGAGAAGCAGCTTCAGCCATACAAGCTGTCAGGAGGATTTTGGACTATTTACATATTCAAGCAGTTTAAGCCATATTGAGTGAGAAAAATCCCATCCTTTGAATAGAACTGAAAGCAGCAACAGGTACACTAAGTTCATCCCTATGTGATAAATGGATTAACTGGATTATTCTGATAGAATAGAAAATTGTACCAATTTGATTCTCTTTTGGTATAGTTGAGGTTCAGTTTTAATTGGCTCTGCATTTACTGAGCTCCATTTATATGCAAATCAAGGCTGAAATTCTCCCAGGGTAAGGGAGAAGGCATCCTTAGCCAACAAGGAGTTGATAGAACAATGACAAGTAATGCCACAGTTCTGCATTTCTTTATGATTCTGTGTTTTAGCCTTGCAAGGTGGGGACACCCCATTTGTAAAGCGTTTAGGACTCCTTTATGCATACAATTCTGTCCTCCAAATGTCCTATGTGAGGAGCTATAGATTTATGAAAGAGACAGCACTGTTTTCCTAAGCTCTCTGCTGTCTAAATTGTTCTTGATACTCAGGCACTACTCTTTCTCCAGCTTGCTCCTGCTTGTTATACCCTTACTTTAATTGTGTTTTCTGGTCTGATTAAGCAGGTGATTATATGACCCAGTTTACTTTCTTTAACAGGCCAACTGTTAAGATATTCTGTGCAACTATTGCACATATTACTCTCAGTGTTTGGTTAGCATTTAGCGATTTATTTGTTGGTATTAAAAGATAATATATATATAATATATGTGCTACCTTATGTTACATTTCACATTGCCTAGTAAGAAGACATGGACGATGGGGTCTATGATGACTCACTGCAGCCAGGTGGGCATGACCAGGTAGGCGTGGCCATCTGAGTGCTGCCAGGTGGGCATGGGTGAGTGGGCGTGGCTGGGTCAACACAAAGGGTTAGTGCAGCCCATTCGGGGCGGATGACTCAGGGCGGATTACTTGGTGTGGGTGGGTAGGCATGGCCAAGTGGGCTCAATCATGTTGGTGTA